ACTGTGGGGTACAGGCGCACCCGAAGCTGTGAATGTGGGGTACAGGCACACCCGAAGCTGTGACTGTGGGGTACAGGCACACCTGAAGCTGTTGGGGAAGGTGGCATCATTTCACTGACCATCTGTTCAAAACGGGCACAGAATGGATCGAGCTGATCGGGAAGAGATGTATTATTGTCAGCGATTGTACTCGACTTCACTTTGTAGCCCATTATAGCGAGTAAGCCCTGCCAAAGCCAACGTGTGTTCGTGTGGTTAGCCTGGGACCCTAGTCTGGCATCGTCTCTCAGTATCCCTGATGGCTCTCCTTAATATCTGTACATTCAGACAACGAAGGCCATCAGTTTAACTGGGACAAGGTAACCATAGTAGCCCAACCCAAACATAGACACGCACGGGAATTCCTAGAAGCATGGTTCTTAACCCATGATGCTGTCAACAAACATATGGGATAGGACCTCATATACAAACCCGTACAGATCAAAACCGGAAATGACAGTACTCACCATAACGGACTGGAGAGTATAAGTTCCAAGCGGAGTAGAATATCATCGCTTCATGGGAGGCTCCACTGATGATGCCACCTAGCATGGTGACGAAATGTCTGAACAAAAATAAGCCAGCTCGGTGAGCAAGTCAACAACCTAACTCCACTGTTTAAAACAGAAGGGATGGAGAAAAATGGGAATTATAGACTGGTTAGCCAAACATCAACTCAAGGGTATGTGTTGGGGTCTGAGTTTTTATTCATTCACAGAATGAGGGTATCACTGGCCAGGCAGCATTTATTGCCCATCCCTAATTGGCCAGAGGGCAGTTGAGACTCAACCACATTGCTGTGGGTCTGGAGTCACATGTAGGCCAGACCAGGTAAGGATGGTAGTTTCCTTCCCTAAAGGGCATTAGTGAACGAGGTGGGTATTTCCCGACAATCGGCAATGGATTTATGGTCATCATTAGATTCTTAGCTCCAGTCTGTTTTTTAATTGAATTCAAGTTTCACCTTCTGCTACGTAGGATTTGAACCTGGGTCCCCAGGACATTACCTTGATTTCTGGATTAATAGTTGAATGACAATACCATGAGGCCATCGCCTGTCCTTGTTTAAAGGATGGGA